AACAAGGGATTAAGTACATATGTCGCTTTTCGTTAATTTGGCCTTAACCCCACTATTATCTTTTGTGTGCTTTTAAAATTCAATGCCTATTTTCTAGTATGGACCAGACTATTTTCGCCTGCTTACCACGTTATAAAATCACATTCTCTTTGAATCTTTGTTAACACTTCCCCACGAATTACATGTCTTAATCATTGACCATATTTATCTATTTCAAAAAGTAAGAACCAAGTACTTTGCCGTCTCATAGTATCATTTAATTGTGAAATTTCTTTTACACACATGTCATCTTGTTCTTTTAGTTCGTAGATCAAGTTAATATTTCAGTTTCTCAGAGAAAAAAAATAGAATTTTTTTCTTTTTAATTGAAAAATAAAAGGATATGGATACAAAAGAAAGCTAATTGTTAATAAATTTATTTTATGTTTAAATTGTAAAAATTAGTAATTAACAGTAGAACTACATGATCAAAGATTCAAAACTATGTAAGTAGAAAACTAAAAAAAATCTGTTACAAGATTCTCGAATTTAGCTTGTCAAACAAATTCATTTAAAAACAATTATCTGCCGACTGATGTATTTTAACCTCTTTCGTGTCACATTAATGTGCGCGCAATATCTTTCATCATACATGACTGTCCTTACGTAATATCTTCGCACAATTTCTTTTCTAACGCTAGATAATTATATTTTAACAAATAACTAGATTTTGATCCGCGCTTGAAAGCGCGGAAATTTTTTATGATTAAAAATTTATATAACTGGGTTTTGTCTTAGTTTAAAGAATATTTTCGATATAAAATCAATTCACCAAAATTTGTGGTGATGATTATTTTTCATTAGTTTTTAGTTTCAGTTTTTATTTTTAGATTTTGGTTTTTGGTTTTTAGTTTTAAGTTTCTACTTTTCATTTTCATTTTCAGTTTTTGGTTTGGGTTTTTAATTTTTAAACCCGCTGAGTTAGTTTGAACTAATATTACCAACAAACAAATCTCAAATAATCGAACATCTAATTCAAAACTGAAAAGATGACAACAAACTAAAAAAAAAAATTGAAATAGTTTATTTTGTAAATAAACAAAGGAAAACAATATAACATGTGTTTTCAGCTTTTGGTTTTGGATTTTAGTTTTTAGATTTGGTTTTTGGTTTTGCTTTACATTTTTTTAATCAGTAAATTATTTAAGAAAAATAAAACAATAAATTATTTAAAAGTTACCATTGAAATTTATCAAAACAAAGTGATTGTTATTTAGAATAAAAAATATATTAACATGTTTTAAAGTACATGATTTAAATAAATGATTAATAATAGATAATTTTGTTTTTTTTAAATATTAAATACCTTTTGGGTCTGAAAATAATAATTGATTTTTTTATCTTTTAAGGTGAAAAGTTTATTCAATATTTTTAGAGTTTTTTTCTTAATACTAAGCCAAAAAACCAAACTATATAATTTGTTCAAAAAATAAAAGTAAGCCCAAGACTATATTCCATAAATAACCAATGGTTTAATTTAAGTATAATTAGTAGATTTCCATATTCCATATTTTGATGATATATATATTCTTTTAGAACATTCCATATTTATAGGAGAAAATATGTGTTTTCGGTATACACATAGATACCTGTCATATTTTGAAAGTAGTTTACATTAATGTCGTCTCTTTACATTAATTGTGTTGGTTTAATTTAAGTAATACGGTTCAATCAATTATATGACTTATATTATTTGTAACATTCTAGAAATGGTCCAAATTTAAATTACAACTTGTATCAGTAGATAAAAAGGACGACTCTATTTTAATAGAGTAGAAGATAAATATTATAAATCATTTTATAGTCGATAATTTTAGATATCTTATGAAAAATTACGTTTAAATGCATCTTGAATCATTCTATAAAATTTAATGTTTGATGATACTCCTTACACAATAATACAGATTTCTTGTAAATATTTTTTCCTTAAATTTATATAATTCCATCCTCTGTGATTTAAAATTTTGACCACGGTAAGAATAATAATGAACTATTATTACTTAAACTATTGGATCCAAAGTATTTCTACTCGCGATTAGAATTTGAAAACGAAAACCTTTTCAAATTTTTGATATAAGTATTTATCTGTGTTCTTAAACACGGCTGCTATGAACGATTACATGATGATTAAGGATCTGACTGGTTTAAACGTAGTGGTTACGATTGCGGAAGTTTGCGGATGGGTATGGTTATAGTTTTTTTGTAGTTTCAAGAGATTCGTATGACTGGTACTCTGATAACAAATTGGTGCGTTTACAGAATATTTATGACTGATTAACTACTAAATGCAGTAGTGGTTAAAATATAAATTAACAATATTTCTATTTTTTATAATTATAAAAAACCAAAAATCTTAATATTATAATAAATATAGAAATTATACTTATAAAGTTATAGTTTTAAATTTTTTGAATTATTGAAAATATTTTTGAATTTTTTAATAATATTAATTAAAATATAATAGATATATTTTAGCATTTTTATAATTCCAATTAAAAAAGTTTATAGAATATTTTTATTTTTGTATTTATATTTTTTTAAAACAAAAAAAATCATCCTCCCGTAACTATCCGCAATCACAAATGTTAGTTAGTACCAGCTTTTGAATTTAAAAGATTTAGAGTGGTTTGAAGCAGTTCAGAGCGGGTTGAGTGATTATTGCAAAACGCCAATAATCGCTATTGACCATAAAAACTGCGTTTGCGGATGAGAACGGGGAAACTAATCAGACCTTAAGCATTCGGCGGTTCATGGCTGTGTAGACTTGGCCTAATCGGTTAAAATTTTAAAATTCTATTAGCATTTTAAGATTATAAATGATATAATACAGCTCAAATTTATCATATTAGTGTATAAATCATGAAAAAATGAATGTTGAAACTGAGTTTTGATGAGTATAAATCGAACGACTGTCATGTCTAAACGTCTATAATCGTGAAGTCCTATGGAGAAAACAACTACTAAAATACTTTTTTACCTGCAGCTTAATAATTGAGAAAAAAAAAATGTTAAATGACTTTATTGTTGTTTGATCATGTGCCCCATGTGGAAAACCGTGTCTAAAGTCAATACATACCATCATAAACACTTATCTACATTTCACCGAAATAATGGGGATGATTGGTTGAACTGTAGCTGTAAAAGTTTTACTGTAGAAAATAGTCTGTAGAATTTTTTGATTTAGCTGCAAAAGATGTAGCTTTAAAATTTATTGTTACAGCAACATATTTTCTACAGCAAAAAAATATATGACTTTAAAAAATAAGAATTTTACAACCATTTTTTTTAGTTTTTGGCTGTAGCTTTAAAAAAATAAGATAAAGCATGATTGGTAATTTAAGTGATATAGATAAAAATTAAAGTTAAAGTCAGCACTTACAACCCAATCAATCACCCCCAATATATATGCGTAAAACTAAGCATAATTTTCGAATAACTGATTATGCGCTATGCAGAGGTGGGAATTAGTCAAGTACTTCTATTTTTGGCGTATTTAGTATTTGGTTTGACTTATTCGAGTAATAAAAATTTGGATTTATATTTGGTTTATTAAAAACGAGTACTTACACTTTTAAGTATTTGCTAAAAAATGGTATACTTACAAGTACTTGCTCTGTTTTACTACTTGTTGCTTCTAAACTAATTTATAAATTATTATATAATTATTTTTAAATTATTTAATAATAGTTTATTAATTTTAGCTACTTAAACCTTGAATATGATTTTAAGAAAAAATTAGTTAGTTATAACTATAATCTAAACAATTTTTAAAAAACATTATTTATTTACTTTTTATATGTTTTAAATCGATATATAATAAGTATAAAATTAAAAGAATACTCTAAAATATTCTCTATAATATATTGCTTTTAATTTATTTATTTTATAAACAAGTAATTTAATTATAATTTAGAGATTTTTTTATTTAAAAATAAAAAACGAATAATAAATCAAGTAATAAGTTACGAGTAACAAGCCAACAATGCCAAGTAGTTATTTTCATTTTAGTATTTGGCACTTGTGTTCTACTTGCAAGTAATTGAAGTTAACGACTTGATATTGAACTTGAACAAAACGAATACTCGACTTTAAGAGCTAAGAGTGGATCAAATAGCGAATATAAACCGAGTAGCAAGTAATAGTGCCCACCGCTAACACTATGTTCGGGTACACCGCACGCGTAGTGCCTAATGTAATTGTTTCGAGCAAAGATATTTATATACTTATGTGTAACTACTATAGTGATCACATAGTTTTCAAAAATTTTGGTTTTGTTAAGTAGGTGTGGTGGAGATCCCAAGAGTTGCCGAGGCTGGAGCCAGTGGTGGTGCCAGTGCTGGAGCCAGATCCAGCGACGGTGGCTGTGCGGATGGCGGTGGTGTATAATATATATATGATTAGCACGAATTATTTAATGTCCCAAAAAAAAAAGTCAAAATACGATAATTAACACAAAATATGTGTGCGGCATTTAGTAGCAACATTGTCACAGTTTTACAACAAATAATGATTTTCCTTGAGTTATAGCGAACTCATATTTCGTGACAAATTGTGATAAACAGCTATATTGCCACGAAGTTTAGCCTTTTACCACAAAGCTTGTGTAGAAAGTAAGAATAATAATAAAACTTGTGAATACATATCGTTGATTTACCAAAAAAAGGAGCACGCACTTTGATGGGTTTCGATTCCGTGACAGGCATCATTCTACAATTTATTGAACACTTTGGTCTCCTCTTTCCTCAGGAAGGTCTTTGCTTGTACGTCATCTAATTCACGAGAACTGAGCTGTCCATTTCATTTTTTCACCATACGAAGAACTTAACGTAAACAATTCTCTCAAGCTGCAGATACTTTAACTAACATTCCACAAACCATAATATATACAATCTTTAGATCGTCATTTGCTCTTGCCCTCATCAGATAAGCATTAGTTTTTGTAGACTAACTTTCGAATAGAAATGGGTATATTCCCTGGATTTGGTGTCTGGATCAATCAGAATACTCAACAGCCCCTTAAGGTCAGTTCATTTCCACAAATCAAAAGACCCTTGGAAGTCTACTATATTGCTTAATTAACTGCAAAGATCAGATCATGATTATCTTTGTCATTGTAGACGTCCAAGAAATCTAAGAATGGTAAATCTAGTTCAGTTTCAGAAGAAGAAAGGTATATTCAGGGACCATGGTACTGGTATCCTAATTTAAGTCCTAAAGAAAAGGTAATAACAAATCAGCAATCAATATTAGATACTTGTGTTGGTGGTTAATTATGTAAATGAGATAACGATTCTTCTTGTTTTTTTGTAGGCCGAATCCTTGGAAATAGACCATGTTAAATCTATGCCACTGAGTGCTACCGATCCTAAGTACTATGACTTCGATGAACTGGCGAGGCAAGACGAACTTTGGAATTATGAAAATAAAAAACATCCATGGAAAGATGCACCTGCTAAGGTGAAGGTAACAGCAAAGAATCAAACATTATCTCTCAATACTCGCGGATTATACTTTTGTTTGTTTTTATAGGAAATGCTAGAATTTATGAAAATTGATCGTGAAACGTCTTTAACTTCTTTTTTTTTTAAGGTGAAAACAAAAAAGGGTATTTGCCATTTAAACATAGATTTCATATTGGGATCTCCTCCTCAAGCAGTCTTCGAGATGTTCACTGATCCAAGAAACATAGGATTTTTTCGTTCAATGGGCAAGTACAAGAAACATTTTCGCACACGTTTGGTTTGTTTTATTCACTAGTTGTTTAGTTCGAATTTAAGAATCAATTATTAGCAATAACTGAGAGCATGGTCTTTTTAATTCCTTTGAAGGACACGACAGCAACAAAGATTTTAAACAAGGATGGACCAAGGCAGATCACGGAAGTGGAAAAAGTTTTGAGATGGAAGATACTTGGGTATAATGGGGCAATCCCAATACATTTAATCATCGATGAAAACCATCAAAAAGTTACAGTAAGAAAGCTTGTCTATATTCCTCACAAGAACCAATAGTTTTCGTTCATTTCTTGGTGAACTAATTTGTGTTATTGCTTAGGCAACATATAAGAAAGTGAAAGTGAAGCACATGAAAGTGTTTGAGGGTAGCTGGAAAATACAGCCACTGTTCGTAGATCAGGAACGGTTGTGCAAGTCTAGGTCGCGTATTAGTGAAGAAAAGTACAAAAAATGTAGCGGCGGTAAAGGAAGGATTGGGTCAAAGCTGACAATGGAGCATATATTTCAACCCTCTCCTCTTCTTAATGTGCCACCGGTTTCTTGGTTCATCCGTGGTATCACCGTCAAAGTCACCAAGACTTTGCTCCGAGATCTTAGAGAACATGTAAAAGGGATGAACAACATGAAGACGGTAGACCCGGAGGTGTATGCTAAAGTAATAGAAGAAGTTAAGCAAAAAGAAAAACAAGAAAAACTAGACGAACAGAATCAGTGAAAAAAAAAAAATCTAAACTAAAAGAATCGGAGTGTTAAATGTTTGGATTATCTCCAATGCGGATCAATATCTAGCCATCCACCTCACTAAAAATAATTGACCAACTAGATGATATCCCTGTGGGGATTAATGTATACTAAGTGACTGGTCCGCACCCTGTGCGGGTATAAAAATATAATATAATGCTGAGACAGGAGTATCTATTGAGTTCAAATGTGGGAGTTAGTGGAACAAGCGAGAGTTTCAATGCTGAGACAAGATTTACGCAAATCTCTAAGATGTAGTAGGGGTGGGCAAATCGTTACTTTTTCGCTTTGGTTTGTTAAATTCGGTTTAATATATTTTTTCAACTGAAATAAACCTTATTTAATCTGGTTCGGTGTTGTTTATGTCCAGTTCAATTTATATTCAGTCCGGTTTGTTTTTGGATCGGTTTAATTAGGCTCTTTGTCGCTTAATTTTTTAAAAGAAAAATTATGTTTTAAAACATATACACATAAAGTATGTGAACTAAATTCAATATTAAACTGAAACAAAAAATAAAAAAGTCACAAAAAGTATATAAGAATAAAACAAATGAAAGTTAACTAAAGTAGAAAAAAATTAACATCATTAGTATGTTTTTAATAAAAGTTAACTATTAAAAAAACAAATGTAAGAAAATATACAGGAGACAGTGACATTGAAAAATGTGATAAAAATCACATAGATATCACAATCCCATAGAAAATGTGATAAAAATTTAAATATAATTCATAAGTAATATAAAATAAGAAGAACAATTATGAATTAAAATAATCACATAGAAACCTGCAAAAAATTGTCAATTTTTTTAGCAATTGTACAATATAAAATAATTTAATAGATTTCTAAATTTTATCGAGTCGAAAATAATATTAAATTTGCATATCGCTATTGAAACAGACTGAAAAATGGTTTGTAGTCAACTACAAACGATATTTCATCTGTGTTATTTATCTGTTAATAGAAAGAACAAACAAATGTATATATATAGTAAATTACATTTTTAAGATCCATATATTTATATATATATATATATATATATAATAAAGATAATAGTTTTGGCTTTTCTAAATCTCAAATCACCATTATATTTGTGGTTTTCTAAATGGATAGTATTTTTGGGCTTTTTAACTCAAATCACCATTATCATATAAATTTGTGCAAGTAATTGATAGCAAAATAAGGTAGTCATCATATTTCTGAATTAACTAATTAAGAAATAAAGAACATACACATTTAATGCAATATCACATGTATATAGTTACCAATAAATGACATCATAAAAGAACAAGAAATTTACTTAATAGACATATATTTCACGAAAAATTAATTTTTAAAATTTTCAATTAAATGGATATTTAAAAAAATACTTCCTAAAAAGATTATTTCTTTTAGAATTATATATAATAAAAAAATCAGAATATATCAAATATAAAGAATAATTACGAATTAATAATCATATTTTATCATTAAGTCTTATGATTCCTGAAATATTTGTTATAAAAATTCTTGTAAAGACATTTCTTGAGATATATAAAGTCTTATGGTTCTTGTAATATTTGTATCGCTTTTAATAAACATGAAGCAATCAAAGAAAGATATTAAAAAATTGACTGTCATAAATTTGCAATAATTAACATACCATTTAAGACAAGTAACTGATGGCACAATAAGGTAATCAACGTATCAACTTGTGCAAGTAATTGATAATAAAATAAAGCAAGTTATTAATAAACGAATTAACTAATTAAAAGCCTACCAACAAGGTATATATTTCCTAATACTATAATATGGTTATAAAATTAAAGAATAATAAATAGTTTTGATTTTGATATATTGTAAATCTATAGAAATATATAATAATTATGTTTTATCACTTATGTTTAATATAGAAATTTGTATATAAACGATTTAATTCTAACATTAGTATTAGAAATATATACAAAAATGTTACACATATCATATTCTAACTCTGAATTATATTCATAATTTATTATGTGATAAATTGTATAAAGTTATATTATAATTGACATAGAACTATATAGTTTATGATGACAAAAAAAGATGACTAAAAAAAACTATATAGTTTACATATATGAATTTATAGGATACACATTTTATAATATGATAAATTGTTCTTTGTCAACTCACTTGTATCGTTGCACAGCAACAGCAAATCTCTTCTCCTGATCAACACCCCCCTCTTGATCATCATAAGCATCTGGAATTCTATACTGAACTCCGAGAAGTACGAGTAAGAAGAAATGGGTTAGATATATAGAAATTTTACGAAACCAGGAGGGAGAAGAGTCCTGCAAGATGCAAACATTACCTCCTCTACATTATCTTCATCTTGTGTTCTTTTCTTCACCAGATCATAAAGCTATTTCTTGTATCTATAAAAGAGAAACAGATCAACCGAAGCTCAATTAACCAAAACTAAACATACCTTGTGAAAAATGAATGCCACCATATAGCTTTTAGAATTGCAAGAAAAAGAAAGAATAACTCATAAATGAAATTTCATTTTCCTCGTCAAAACAAGCCCACTGCATCAGATAGATTTTGGCAATGGCAACAACAACAATGATGCAAGAAAGATGTAGCAGTTACCTAAACTCACGAAGCTCTGTTTCGGTGAGCTTTTCACCTGTGAAAAGATATTGCTCATCTTCTATCTCATCCCTATGGAAACGGAGGAAACAGTAGAAACCAATCAACGGGAAGATCGCAAAATAAGAACAAAAATGAGCAACCATTTACATGTTATGTACCTTAGTTCTTCCAGTTTCTTCTGTTCCCTCTTCTTCAAATATTCTTGTCTTGAGACATTCCTGCATTAGAACCAACAAATCATATCAATAATAAGGATAGCACGAAATAGCCTTCACAAATCATTTTTGTCAGTATCAATAGGAAGATCGTCAATGGTTATTAAACGCTAACGGTTGATCGAGTCAGAATTGGTAATTAACAAAGGCAGGATTAAACATACGAGACACACGTTATGCTAGGCAACTATACTTCATTACCTTCTATCTCTGTCAAAAAAGCAATCATCAAAAACACATAAAAGAAAGAAAAGATACATTACCTTAAAGCGTGTAAATCATCCTTCTCCAAAGCGTTCGCTCTTCGACGAGCCTCCTCTGTTTTGAAATAAAGAAAAAGAAATCCCAATGCCAGTTGAAAAAACTTATGCCTAAATCACAGTGCACAGTAAAAATGTTAATGTAGGTTCATGCACAAATTATAACAGAGTGTACCTTGCTCTTTCTTTGACAACTTTTGCTCCGTTACCTGATCATTAAACAAATGAAAAGAACAAGTGAGCCATGCTAGCTACATGTTTCTCATTCTATCAAGGATTTAATATAATATATGAATGTGTATGTTATTGCTTAATTCATTTTCCTTAACCGAATCTAGATTTGCCTGTTATGAATCACGAGAAATCTCATTCACACAATTGTCGACAACAGCCGGCTACAACTACATGACCTATTCGGAGCAGAAAACAGAAATCATAGCAAGAATGCAATTTTTGAGGCATACTTTTCGTGTCCGTGCAGTATCACGATCTCTTAAATGCTGTTCGAGTTCTTCCCTCTCCTTTTGGTCGCGCCCTCTTTCCTCTTCTGACTGTGGCAAGGGTACAAGAACAAAGTAAACTATATTAGCATAGGTGTTATCCATTCCTATCTGTAGAAAATATACTAGTTATTGGCTTTCTAAAGAAAAAGGCTACGGGGATCATCAGATATACCTCAGAACCATCATCCTCGTCTTCAGAAACCTTCCTTCTAACGTGTCTACTGTCCTCTCTAACAGGCACCTAGAATGTTGTTCACAGCTTTAGAATGAAGAAAGAAAGAAATTGGAATTTAGAAATGAGGAAAAGAAACTATACCTCTTCATCACTGTCATCTGAATGCCCACTTTTCTTTCTAAACCTTTTCTTGCCCTTATCAGACTTTCTCGATTCAGAAGCTGAAGGCTTTTTCTCCTTAACCACTTCATCTTCGTCTTCATCATCATCAGCATCTATGAGAGCATATGTTTGTTGCCTCCTCACTAACATAGCTGCCTCTGCTTCCCGTTGTTGGTAGAGCTGAGACAGGAGGAACGAAAGAGATTAAGAAAACCAATGAAAACCACAACTTCTTCGCTTATACTTTTCTCAGAGAGAACATAAAAAAAAAAAAACTAAAAAACGCATTTACTTCCAAAAGCGTAAACACAAGAAAGAGCAATATAGATTAGAAAAACTCACATTCACACCAGCAGCTTTACGAGGAACTCTAGCAAAAATCTCTTGCGCAAATGAACGAGTATCACCAGAAGAAGCAAAGCCGTATTCCAACAGCACTCCCACAAGTTGAGTTGGTGATTTTGACTTTTTAGCTGCAAGAAAGAAAGATAGTTAACAACACANAAACACAAGAAAGAGCAATATAGATTAGAAAAACTCACATTCACACCAGCAGCTTTACGAGGAACTCTAGCAAAAATCTCTTGCGCAAATGAACGAGTATCACCAGAAGAAGCAAAGCCGTATTCCAACAGCACTCCCACAAGTTGAGTTGGTGATTTTGACTTTTTAGCTGCAAGAAAGAAAGATAGTTAACAACACATGTTCAAAAACAATTAAAATCGAAAACATCAAATTTTACCCTCTGCAATGGGATAGTTAACAACAGCTGATTGAGAATAGCCAAGTAGCACCATCAGCTTGTCCGAAACCCATGTCTTCAAATCATTATTCGCCATTCTCACTGCAATTGCGTTGACGACATCGTATATATATTGTCAAAGAAGGGACATCGTATATATATTGTTAAGCTTTCCTAATGGTATGAGATTGACATATTTGGCATTGAATTTCCAACTTCTCACACAAGTTATCGAATATAAGGTAAGGAAAGTAAATAACCTACATTAAATTTTAGAGATACGATTCTCATATATAAATCCTAACACTTGCACGCCAAACAAAAAATAAATCAAAAAGAAAATTAAATTTAATCAACCAATCAGATTCTCAGAATTTCTCTGAGAAGGCCTGTATGAGTGCCACGTGTCCAAGTGACTTCTCTTTTAATGTATAGGGGAATATATCGTAAATTTTAATTTAAATATACATTATATTTGACATAAATTTTAAATTAATGTCATAAATTATTTGATTCCAGTATTTTGTATTGACCGTGTTAAATTCTACTGAGTTTTTATTGAGCCTCTAAGGTAAGCCTGAACCCACTCAAATAACAAATAAGATTCGGGTGGATATTTCGGATATAGCAAAATGAGATCCGTTCAAATATTTCTTAATTTTGGGTCAGGTCTGATTTGGTACCTGTCGGATCCAGATAGTTTCGGGTATAATCAAAAAACCGATTCCGATTGGGATTATCCGATATAACCGGAAATATTTATTTCTAATTTGACTTATCTGAATCATTTAGAGTAGGACATAAATAAAAGAACTCTGAAAACAAATTTTAGCCTTTTACCACAAAGCTTGTGTAGAAAGTAACAATAATAATAAAATTTGTGAATACATATCGTTGATTTACCCAAAAAAAGGAGTACGCACTTTGATGGGTTTCGATTCCGTGACAGGCATCATTCTACAATTTATTGAACACTTTGGTCTCCTCTTTCCTCAGGAAGGTCTTTGCTTGTACGTCATCTAATTCACGAGAACTGAGCTGTCCACTTCATTGTTTCACCATACGAAGAAAGTAAACGTACACAATTCTCTCAAGATGCAGATACTTTATAGATCGTCATTTACTCTTGCCCTCATCAGATAAGCATCAGTTTTTGTAGACTAACTTTCGAATAGAAATGGGTATATTCCCTGGATTTGGTGTCTGGATCAATCAGAATATTCAACAGCCCCTTAAGGTCAGTTCATTTCCACCAATCAAAAGACCCTTGGAAGTCTACTATATTGCTTAATTAACTGCAAAGATCAGATCATGATTATCTTTGTCACTGTAGACGTCCAAGAAATCTAAGAATGGTAAATCTAGTTCAGTTTCAGAAGAAGAAAGGTATATTCAGGGACCATGGTACTGGTATCCTAATTTAAGTCCTAAAGAAAAGGTAATAGCAAATCAGCAATCAATATTAAATACTTTGTGTTGGTGGTTAATTATGTAAATGAGATAACGATTCTTCTTGTTTTTTTGTAGGCCGAATCCTTGGAAATAGACCATGTTAGATCTATGCCACTGAGTGCTACCGATCCTAAGTACTATGACTTCGATGAACTGGCGAGGCAAAGCAAACTTTGGAATTCTGAAAATAAAAAACATCCATGGAAAGATGCACCTGCTAAGGTGAAGGTAACAGCAAAGAATCAAACATTATCTTTCATTACTCAGCGGAATATATTTTGGGAAATTGGGATGGCTAGCTATGAAACAAATCATAAGTAGGTATCTAGCTAAAAAAAACATCATTCCCTATTACTATAATATATACCATATTATCCCTGTTTGCCGGTTAATAAACGTATACACTTCTTTTTCTGCATTTATATTCCATATGTACTGTAAGTTTCCAATTATACTATGCTATTTGAATAAAATGATTATGTTACTTCGTTGTTACTATTCTATTTTAATAATGATTACTATTATGTAGTACGTGTATATTTTTATATTTAGATAAAAGTTTATATTTCTATTTGGGTTTAGTTTACTGAAGATTTGGATTTATATTTCTATTTTGGGTTTAGTTTTTAAAATTTGAACAATATGTACTATACTATTTCATTTATTACTATTCTATTTTGATAATGCCTCATATTATGTATTATTTTGTATTTGGATTAGGGTTTATATTTAGTTTTAGGGTTTAGTGATTAGTGTTTCGAGTTTAGTTTATGGAAGGTTCAGGTTGATATTGGAATTAATATTATCTTATTTTTTGCAATCATATACATTTACAAACTTTATCTATTTGTACTATACTATTTATTTATTACTATTCTATTTTAGTACTATATTATATTGTATACTATTTGCATATTTTGATATTTGAATTAGACTCTATATTTTCTTTTAGGGTGTAGTGATTAGTAATTTAAATTTAGTTTATAAAAGATTTGGATATTCATTAAACTATTTTATAATTTTATAAACATGAACTATACCATTTAATAGCATTTCTATTCCATTTATATTATATTATCACTATCATCGTGGATGTTATAATCACCACCACTTTAATAATACATTTTGCATTTAATTAAAAAAAATTCACTGTCGACATGCTTAAGAAAATGAGAGAACCGGAAGAAAAAAAGAACAAAAACTATGTGATCTAATTATGTCACATCAATATCATATTCTTAATTTTATTCTCAAAATTGGCTATTACACAAATTAGCCCATATATTTTTGTTTGTTTTTATAGGAAACTAGGTGGTTTCCTGCACCATGTGTAGGAAACCAATAAGGTTTACGATTAGTTAACCTAATGGATATAAATGTATATTTACTTATTTTTGATAAAACATTTAAGTCTATCTTGGTCATTTTTATTTTAATATCTATATTTGTGATTAAAATTTTTTTTAGGTCTATCTTAAATTTCTTTTTCTTAAATTTATATTTAATAATATATATGTATCTTTTAAACAAAAAGGTTTACGATTAGTTAACCCAAAGGATATAAATGTATATTTACTTATTTTTGATAAAACATTTAAGTCTATCTTGGTCATTTTTATTTAATATCTATATTTGTGATTAAAACTTTTTTTTAGGTCTATCTTAAAATTTTTTTTCTTAAATTTATATTCAATAATATATATGTATCTTTTATCTTTTGGTTAAATTATATTAAATCAGATTATATACTATTAAGAGAAAATTTTGTTAGATTTATAATTATCAATATTAAACTAAATAATATTTCTAAAATTTATAGATGTTATAAATAAAGCTAATGGTATTGGGATTAGAAAATTATAATTTAAAAAAACTGCATAAAATTTTGAAAAAACAAATATTAATAAAAAATAAATAATTATAAAAATACACTTAAAAATATTTCAATATTTGTAATATTATTATATTTATATTTCTACTATTATATTATTTATTAGCTTAATGATAATTTATGAGTTCTTTTACTTATCACTATTTTAATACAAATTTTTGTTTAATCAAACATAAAAAGTAATATAAAAATAATTTTGTTTATTTTATATATTTAAGAATATGCATGTATATATTTAAAATTATATCTTAGATAATTTTTATGTATTTATTTTAATTAAATATATTAAATAATTTTGTAGAAAATTTTATAATTACAAAAACTAAAATTAGACAATATTTATTAACCTTTTAAATATATAAGAAATTAATAATTTTACGATTAAATTTTAATAATTTTCAAAAAATGTATACATTTTTGCAATTTTTGTAATAAAATTGTATAGTTTTAAAATATATAATTAAATGATATTTTCGAAATTTTTAATGACATATTGGTATATATTTATTTTAATGATGATTTATTAGTTATTACCATGTTTTAAAAATATTTCCAAAAATATAAATCTACATTAAATGTAATATATGAGTTGGTACCATATTTTATAAAGTTTTCCAAAAATATATATTAACATTAAATGCAATTGTCCATGTCATATTTAATTATATGACATGTGATCAATTCTAGTAGACATGTCATCATTTTTGTGTGAAACTGATTCTAGAGAGGACATGAGGCAAAATCACTTCACAAATAATGTATAGGGGATTTTAATAATTTTCAAAAAATGTATACATTTTTGCAATTTTTGTAATAAAATTGTATAGTTTTAAAATATATAATTAAATGTTATTTTCGAAATTTTTAATGCCATATTGGTATATATTTATTTTAATGATGATTTATTAGTTATTACCATATTTTAAAAATATTTCCAAAAATATAAATATACATTAAATGTAATATATGAGTTGTTACCATATTTTATAAAGTTTTCCAAAATATATATATTAACATTAAATGCAATTGTTTATGTCATATTTAATTATATGACATGTGATCAATTCTAGTAGACATGTCATCATTTTTTTGTGAAACTGATTCTAGAGAGGACATGTGGCAAAATCACTTCACAAATAATGTATAGGGAATGATAGAATTTATGAAAATTGATCTTGAAACGTCTTTAACTTCTTCTTTTTCTTTTTTAAGGTGAAAACAAAAAAGGGTATTTGCCATTTAAACATGGATTTCATATTGGGATCTCCTCCTCAAGCAGTCTTCGAGATGTTCACTAATCCAAGAAGCATAGGATATTTTCAATTAATGGGCAAGTACAACCGCCATTTTCGCACACGTTTGGTTTGTTTTATTCAGTAGTTGATTGATTCGAATTTAAGAATCAATTATTAGCAATAATTAAAAGCATGGTCTTTTTAATTCCTTTGAAGGACACGAGAGCAACAAAGGTTTTAAAGAAGGATGGACCAAGGCAGATCACGGAAGTGGAAAAAGTTCTGAGATGGAAGATACTTGGGTATAATGGGGCAATCCCAATACATTTAATCATCGATGAAAACCATCAAAAAGTTACCGTAAGAAAGCTTGTCTATATTCCTCACAAGAACCAATAGTTTTCGTTCATTTCGGGGTGAACTAATTTGTGTTATTGCTTAGGCAACATATAAGAAAGTGAAAGTGAAGCACATGAAAGTGTTTGAGGGTAGCTGGAAAATACAGCCACTGTTCGTAGATCAGGAACGGTTGTGCAAGTCTAGGTCGCGGATTAGTGAAGAAAAGTACAAAAAATGTAGCGGCGGTAAAGGAAGGATTGGGTCAAAGGTGACAATGGAGCATATATTTCAACCCTCTCCTCTTCTTAATGTGCCACCGGTTTCTTGGTTCATCCGTGGTATCACCGTCAAAGTCACCAAGACTTTGCTCCGAGATCTTAGAGAACATGTAAAAGGGATGAACAACATGAAGACGGTAGACCCGGAGGTGTATGCTAAAGTAATAGAAGAAGTTAAGCAAAAAGAAAAACAAGAAAAACTAGACGAACAGAATCAGTGAAAAAAAAAAAATCTAAACTAAAAGAATCGGAGTGTTAAATGTTTGGATCATCTCCAATGAGGCTCAATATCTAGCCATCCACCTCACTAAAAATAATTGACCAACTAGATGATTGCCCAGTGGGGATTAGTATACTAGATTTCGATACGCACAACCGTGCGGGTATTTTAATACGAAAATATTTGAAATTATATAATAAAATTTATCAATAAATAAGTATAATTTGATTATTTCTGCTATCCAATTTATAATCATTTTTATGTGACTTATAATATTATTAATATAAAATTTATAAATTTGTATTTTTGTAATAATTTAATTATTATGTAAGATTACTAATTTATATTTTTTTTTATTTCTAAATTTGAAATCTATGTAAAAATTAATTAAGTTGGACCTACATAATACATAAACAAAATTTTGGGATATTGTTACAAGTATTTTACATAATTTCAATTTTTTGTTAATAAATTAAAAATGAATTAAAATTTTAATTATATTTTATGATATTAAGATCTTAATCAAATAATTTTTGAAACTATATCTTGAAAAAGATTCTAAAAGATTTTGTTAGAATTTTCTTAAAACTATTTATTTGTATTTCAAACAAAAAATTAGAGATATGAAAAGATATTATAATGTTATGTAAAATTTTATAAAGCTCTAAAGATTGTCCAAACTAAAATATCACACATGAAGTGAGTCATGACTTCTCTTTTAATATAATAGATATATCATAAATTTTATTATTATTTTTATTTAAATATACATTATTATATTTGACATAACCTTTAAGTTAATATCATAAATTATTTAATTCCAGTATTTATATTGACCACGATGTGTTAAATTCTGCTGAGTTTTTATTGAGTCTCTAAGGGCAAGTACATTGAAGGATCAAGGGCAGGGTTCACACACATCCAAAAAAAAAAAAGTATTATAATACTCAGAATTCATGAACTCACCTCTCACCATTCCTCCGGGATGAATCCGTTTCATTACCACGTGGCGGCCCGCTATTGGTCCATTTTTTTCTTTTTAAAAACAAAGTCAAACGAAAAATAATAATAATAAAAATTAAATCTACGAATCCCTCCCCTAATCCATTGATGCACATGGTCTAAGGTAGGCCTGAACACTCAGATAACAAATCAGGTTTGGGTGGATATTAGATATTTAGGAGATGGCAAAATAAGATTTGTTCAAATATTTTTTTAATTTCGGATCAGGTCTGATTTGGTACCTGTCGGATCCAGGTAGTTTCGGGTATAACCAAAAAACCGATTCCAATTTGGATTATTTGATCATAACTGGAAATATTTATTTCTACTCTGACTTATCTGAATCATTTAGAGTAGGACATAAATAAAAGAACTCTGAAACCAAATAAAACATGTCTTAACTAAACTCCAAACGAACAACAAATCCAACATTGCAAACAAAGAAAATAATACATCATTCTAAAAAAACTACAAAACTTAAAGAAGACCTATAAGAAAATATATAAAAAGAAGATCAACAACACCTAATTCTAATATTATCCACTCTTCCAAAGCATTTCACTTACTTTTTGTAATAGTAGCACAATCACAAAATTTCAGACATTGACAAGAAAAATAAATGTGAACCTATGTTTCATGCCTTAATGACATAAGAGTCGGATATTTTCGGATAGTTGTGGATAGTTGTTCGGATCTCTGTAATACTAGATCCGACTCAGTATCTGAAACATAAAAGAAAGCATATCTAATCAAGTATTTCACTATATTCGGATCTGATCTAAAACCTGATTTTGTTTGGATTGGTACCGATTCAGCTTTTCGGATCTTGGAAATATGTCCGAGCCTACTCTTAGGCTTAATTTGTGTATTAGCGAATATGTATATGTAGATTCGGTTAATAATACTATGGCTCAGATACAACTTATTACTCATATCAAAATCCATTTGCAACCATATTTATTTAGGATTGGGGTTGTTTCGAATTTGTTAGGTATTTAGTTTTTAGGTTTTAAATTATTTATTCGAATTTGGTTAATAATATTTCAGATCCGGATATGTATTATATCATTCTATAAGTTTATTTTTTACAGTTCGGATCGGATACTAATTTATTTTTTTTGTTTGGTTTGGATCTTGGTTTAAATCTAATTTGTTTCAGTAATAAAAGTTAATAATTTTTTGGATCAATGAAATGTTCATGTTTTTTTTTTGTCAATTTGTGTAAGTTCAGTTAATAACTTAGCTTCATTAACGCAAAGTTATAGGTTTTCGAATTAATGAAGAGTTTTTTTTTTTTTTTTTTTTTTGTGAAAGTGTTAACATTCGTATATTTATTTGACAGTTTCTCAAATGTATTTTTTTTTTTCCGGAGTCATCTTTGTTTCTGCACCTGAACTGAACCGAACCATATTTGCCGGAGTCGAACCAAACCGGTTTGGAGATAAAACCGATTAGCAACTCACTATTTTAACTCGGCCATCGGTTCGGTTCGGTTCGGCCGTGCTGAACATTATCGATTAAACCCTAGTTTAAGTTGTGGAAAAGAGGTTCTGAAGACAGCGACCCAACTTTGGTTTCTTGTCAACCATAGCTTTCACGACGCCAACCATGGGCTTCTAGGAAAAGGGTTAGTCCCAGCCCGCATTAAAAAATTTAGCCCTAAACCCGCACTTTACTATCTTTGGTACTTGGGTTTTATTAGGGTTAATTATATTTTGTTTTCTGCAGCAAACAGAGGAGACATCGTTTTCTTCTCATCGAAGGGTTTGCAGTTTGTTTTGGGTTAGTTCTGAACCGAAATAAGCTTCTTCTGGGTTTCCTCTGACTCGATAGCGAAGGCGTTGAAGACGAAGACGTAATCGAGAAGTGGACCTTTGATCTAACTCAAGGTTTGAATGATTTCTTTGATTACGTACTTGATGTAGGGTAGTAAGCAATGAACTTGTTTGAGTAAAGAATGATGTCAGTTTCACAAGTAGCAACCATTCTGTTTTGCCTTATTGAAACTGAGTTGTGATGTTATGTTCTTTATGATGTAACAAAGATGCTTGTTTCAATGGGCAAGAGTACGATGGCTCATATGTTGTATAAATCTTCATGTGATCTCAAGGTAGATACAAAAGTTGTAAGACATTAGACATTTGATTTACGGTGTGATAAAGTATTTGTAGTCCTAGATCCTTACTCTTACTTCCTTCATATGAGCTTCATAATCACTTTCTTCCACTTATCTGCTATATTAAACTCTTGTCTTGTTTTGCTTTAATTCCCAAACCGTGCCTTGATTAATTTTGAGTTTGGATACCGCAAAAAGATTGAGTAGTTCTTAGTTGCTTGTTCTTGTGTGGTTTGAGTAGACTGTTTTTAATTGTTGCAGAGAGTCACGAGATTAGGAGAGCAACGAGTTTTGGCCATTTAGAGGTAACTCCTTCTCGCTTTTCATCTGATGTTGCTTGTTAATAGTTTAAGTGTGTATGTCTGAATTACTACTTGTCTGTAGTTGGAGTTTGTATGAATCTAATTGTAAATTTCCTTACAGAAAAGTACCATGGATGATGATGTACAATCCAAAGCTCTAGAGGAGAAGCTAAAGAGCCATCTTCGTCTTCTTGAGCTTGAGCATGCAGTCTTTGAGAGAATGGTTTACAAGAACAAGAACCAGCATCGTAGATGCTCCTATTTTCAGTACCTTCTCAAGGTTCATCTATCTAGCTATCATAATAGACAACGCTGAGATGAATTTTGTTTCCTTAATTTTAATCTTTAAACGATTTTTTTATTGCTTAGGTGAGAAGGGATTTGAGGCTTTTGAGAACAGCAAACATGGAGGAGATTCTTAGACCTTGCTTTCATGTTCTTTCTGGGACAGGAACTAAACAGAAACTCCATGTTTTGGAGAGGTATGGCTTATCTTTTTTGTATGTTCCTTACTGATATATATCAATGTTTAAGAAATCGTTAGGCCGCTTTATATGAGACTATTGTTTAGGTGGGCGGCTAAACCGATTTTTAAAAGATCTGTTCGTTCTAGAAAAATCGTTTTGTTTAGGTCCGATTTGCCGAGTAGGCAGACACCTAGACTGATTTTTAGAACAATGGATGTATTAGAATGGCAATGGATCTTAGCTGATATTTTGGGGGTTTATGCAGCTTGAAGCTGAAGAAGCCTGATAATGGGAAACCAAACATCTTGGACCGACTTCGTGGAGCTCTTCATCTACTCTCACAGGTATACTCTAATCTCTATATACTATGGAGATTTCGTAGAGATGAACTGCACGAACATACGTATGAACAAGATCTGAGTTTTCTGACTGGTCATTGTATTTGGTGCAGATGACTGAACCCATCTTGAAGGCAGCTAGGTATTGATTGATCTATGAATTAAACTGTTTGTGTAATTTCTTAGAGCTAACGGCATCCGGTTCATAATTTTTTACAGTGGTATATCCGTTCTGCTAGCTTGTTCATTTTTCATAGGATCTTCCATGACATTTTTGGCATTGCTTGCACGTCTCCGGGTGTTGATTCAACAAGTAAGTTGAGTTTTGTTTTGGTTCTGTGTAATCCTAAGAATCTTAAAAAATACACTTAAGTTAGTTTGTTTAATCCATGATGTATTATATACATATTGTTATTGAGTATTGCTATTATAGTGTTCATAATGTGCTTTAATTTGTTCGTCCAGATATTACTTGATGCTGTTTCAGTTTTCAATTCGGTAACCTCTACATCCTTGAAGAAACAGTCTGTAAAGATAGCTAAGGATGGGGTTGAGGTCGGTCTACGCTTCTTTGCTGGACCATATGGTTGATTTCTTACAGTGTTTAATGATCATGTCAGTAAAATCTCTATTTTTTTCTATTTGGAAACATATAGGTGTTCCGCGAGTTCTATCCAAAAGATGAAGAGTGCTTCACCTTGTTGGACTGTGTATGGAAGACTGATAAATACGTCTTACTTGAGACGTTACAGAACCGTGAGAGTAGTAAACCTATAGATGAAACTGTTTCAGAAGATGCTACTACTAGGGCTTCGTTGGTACAACCTGTACAGTATCAAACATCTGTTTATTCTGTCGGAGGTAAAGCCTTCACATAATTACTATTTGACCCATACTTGTCTGTAATTCTGCATTTAGAGTTTAAACGGCTCAATGGTTGTGGAGTTTAGGCTTTAGATGGGTTTATTGGTTAAAGCGTAGCAAGATTTAAAAAATAATTATATGTTGTGTACTTGAACTGAAATATTTGTGCTTTTGATCGAATTGTCCCACTGAAGATCTCTCTCATTTGCCTGAAGCTGACAAAGGTGGTATTACTGTGACAGAAAGTTCGACTCCCATTGCCGAAACAGCTTCTTCCAAGACTAACAATGTGTTTAAACCAGAAGTTTCAGAAAACACAGGAGAAGCTACAACCGGGGCTTGTTTAATTCAGTATCAGACATCTGTTTCTCCTCTCGGCGGTAAGAATCTCCACATAATTACTATTTGGTCCTGAAGACAGTATGCTGGTTATGTCCGTAGAACCGGTCCAATAAGTACTTAACTGAAACAGTTAGAACTTAGAACTTCATAGTTTTAGTACTTTAACTGAAACATTTTTCTGGAATCATACTTGTCTGGAATCTTGCATTTAGAGTTTATACGGCTTAAACGTTATAGAGTTTTGGTTTTAGGTGGGATCATTGGGTAAAGCGTAGAAAGATCCAAAATTTCTGTGTGTTTTATACTTATCTGAAAGATTTGTTCTTGCAGAAGATCTCTCTCCTTTGTCTGAAGCTGATAACGGTGGTGTTACTGTGACGGAAAGTTTGACTACCATTATCCAAACAATTTCTTCCAAGACGAACAATGCGTTACAACCAGAAGTTTTAGAAAATCCAGAAGATCCTGTTACAACCAGGGATTGTTCAGTTCAGTATCAAACATTTGTGTCTCCTCTTGGCGGTAAGAATCTCCACTGAATTACTCTTAGGTTGTTTATTTTGGTTTCCTAGACTGTATTCTGGTTATGTACATAGAACCGATTTGCTAAGTAGGCTTTTTATACTTGTTTAGATCTTCACAGCTTTAGTGTTGCAAATAAAGACATTCTCTGCTTTATACTTCACTGAAAATTTTGTGTGAATTGTCCAACTGCAGAACATATGTCTCCTTCTCTGCCTGAAGCAGACAACGACAGTGGCGTTACTGTTACAGAGAGCCCAATTCCCATTGCAGAGATAGAACCAGATGATTTACAAAAACATGAATCTATAAGGCCACTGAGTCCGGCAAAGATCAGCACAAACACAACCAAACCAAGTTGCAGAGCAACCAAGGTGGCTTTCCTACCTGTGAAAAGACCTCTCGCTGCAATAACACCAAACCCCCTAGAAGAACCTCCAAGGAAGAAACAAGAAACAGGCGAAAAAGACAAAAAGGAAGAAGAAGATGGATTTTATAACCTACTCATCCGCGGAACCCATAAGGACAGTTTATTCTAGCACAACATTAAAAAAAAAAAAACTCAGAGACATCACTTAAACCAATGATGATAGTCAAGCCTTCTGAGTTGAGTAGCCAAGGATCAAGTCACGAATCTCTTCATTATTAGCTCTGTCTAGAGCAGTTCTTCCATCAGCATCCTTAACAAAGTAGTTAGCACCAGCTCTAAGAAGCTCCTCGATCTTAGGTTTGTCACCTTCTGTGGCTGCTAACATCAGTAGTATATCGACAGGATGAATGTTTAGGTTAAGGAGAGCTTCCATCTTTGAATAGGTGTCTTCTACTGCAAGCATCCCCATGTAATTGAAATACTGCAATAAACATTATTTATGTTCAACTTTTTTCTTTTTGACGCTTCACATCTACAATGAGTTCAAGAACTAGAAGACAAACCTGCTCAACGTCGTCTCCGGCACTTTCAGCATCGATGCCATTCTTGCCAAACGTGAACCAGCAAGTGGTTCTTGACCCGAGGGGGAGGGGGGGGTCCGAGTCTGTTGGATCGGATCCGAAGCTTTAAGAAACCTAGAGGAGAGGAGCCTTGGGGGAGAAGATGAGGAAGAATGGCTGATGGGTTTGGTGGAGAAGAGTGAAGGTACGTGCATGAGAAGGAGATGGAAGAACAAGAAGCCATTGCTGTTCTGTCTCTTGATGCTTCAGCTAAAGCAAAGAGATTCAGTTTCTTTGTTTATTTTTAACAACTATTTTATTTATTTTAAATGTAGCCTTACAAAGAAAATAATAAAGATACAATCAATTACAAATTGAAAATTACAATAGATAAAATAAATTTGAAAAATCTTTTTTCTAAACATCTTTTTCTTCAATAATAGAATTTTCGATGCGATAACCTTCAGAAGACTTATAATCGATGAAATTCCAAACTTTCATTTCAGATTTATTTTGTTGTATAACATTGGTCATACTCCAGTTAAGATCTATAGATATCCATCAACTAAGAATTTAATATAATGATTCTTTTGAAAGAAATAAATACTAGAGCTTGACTTGCACGTCTGTGCGAATATTTACTTTTACTTTTATATATAAAATATTATTTAAATATATATTTATTAGTTAATATTTTAAATATTTATCATATTTTAATTTTTTTATAAATATTATAGTGAAATAGTTTGCATGTTGGAAAAAATATTAACACGTGTGTCATATTAAACTTTCGACAAGCATTGAACCATTGATATATTTGAGTAATGTCTCTTTTAACACGAAATCATTTCCCAACTATATAATATTTTAAATATTTTGATTATATATAGGTCATATGGTAAGATTTAGATACATGAAAAGAAGTATTTCATTATAAACATTAAATATTATTCTACAAGTAATTTTATGATATTTTAAAATTTAGAAAGATAAGTTTATTGTTGAAAATAATTAATAGTAACTAAAATGAATAAAAATATACTTTAGAAATATTTGAATTATATATATATATAGTTAAACTTTAGCATAGATAGAATTAATGTTTACAATAATTAATGGTAATGGTTACATAAATTATTTTAAAATTTTAAAAATTTAAAATACATATATTTTAAACCTTACAAGCTAAATGTGTGGAGTTTATATGATATTTAAGAAATATTATATTATATCATTAAAAATGTTTTAAACTTGAAATTTTCCTAAAATTTAGCTAAAGCGTTCTAAGAAATATATTGATCACAAAAATATAGGTCAACTTGATTTAGGAAATGATTTAATAAAATAGGAAAATATAATAATTATTTACATCTTCTATATTAAAAGAGAAGTACCATTTATATCTACTACACAAAAGTCATTTTGGACCATTTCATTAATAGGACATATTTGATTATTTATATTAATCAATCAACTATATATTACTGGAAAAATATTTTATTTTTATTTAATATAGAAGATAAGATATTAGTAATAAATCAATTTGAATATAAATTTATATTTAATTTTATTTATAACTAAATCTGTTGAGAAAATATCTAACATGATCTTACCAAGAATTTTAAATATTTTTATAAAATATATATTATTTAATTTCGTGATTAATATATATATATATATATATATATTAATGTTAATTAAAAATAAAAATTGGTATATTTTATAATTTAATGATATTCTATTTTATATTAAAATAAAAATGCTATGTGAAATGAATCTAAAAGCATATTAAATTGGTAAAGAAAAATATTTTATTTTAAAAATTTCTTTTATTCACTGTTAAAACATATTTTTTTTTTTTAAACATGTAATATTTTTATACAAAAAATGTTAACATATATTTTTGTAACTCACAACAAATACATTATCTAATATATATATATATATATGATTTTTTTAAAAAAAATTACAACAATATATTATATAAAAATAATTAAAATAATAAGATTATATAGTTATAGAATATATAACAATAAAATGTAAATCATATATTTGAAATTTTTTGTTATATTTTTAGAAAATTAAAAAATTACCCGCACGGATGTGCGGGTTCAAAATCTAGTATAAATTTATTTAATTTTCAGTTGCATTAGATTATAAATATTATGCAAGTTTAATGGTTAGTTTATATTTGTATTTCTGTTTTAATAGATTAGATGATCTATAATTTATTGTGCTATGCGTAGTGAAGCTAGTAGCTCTCATTAAATTGTGGTGAAAGACAAATTATAATATGTACATAGTTGCTCATTTTTTATAGAATATTCCTTAAATAGATTTTTTTGGCAAAGCCTATTACTACCCGAATTTTAGCTGTATATGGTTTTGGAAATTTTATGTTAATAAATGGGCATAATACATTTAATTTCTCTTAGGAATATTGTCTTATTTAATTTTCTTTTAATAATATAATTTATTTTAAATACAGTGGCATTTCATAGTAAATTTTGAGAAAAACTCAGGGCTATATCTCATTTGTAGTCATGTTTTAATAAATTAGATTGGATTTGTCAATTTTCAATGATTCAAACATCGCCGTACAACAAAAGAATCACATCTCCATTAAAGCACCACCAATAAAGATGTTGAACTTTAATTTTCATGATGATAACAAACTATGGTGGTTTCCATGGTAATTGTTTCCAAAGTAAAGCGGTTAAAATAAGTTCCTTACCACTTGATCTTTAGTTCATTACAATAAAATCAAATTTCTTGTCATCGGCCGCGGTTATAAATTCCAAGCCAGAGATTGCAAAAGTAAATTGAAAAGAATAAAACTTTCTATTCAATCCACTGTAAAAGAACTTCTCCATACGTAAAGAGAAGAGTAAAAAATGTAGAGACACGAGAAACTGACCAATTCTTGGATTAGATCATCAGAATAGTTTGGATCCCTAAAGAAAATCTCCTTTGCAGTCACCTGTAAGTTAGTAACTGCAGGGAGAAAGAGAATAGTATTTCTCCAATTGTTTTGTTATGAGAAATTAGGAGTAATGAACTATAAGAAAAAAAATATCAAGAATCTAATCAGATGAAAGTGATAACTAGAATATTGAGTGTATAACATGTATTACTTCTTCTTTTGACCTTTAGAATCCACACACACCATTTTGTTTTTTAATTTTTTTTTCTTCTTCCTTTTCTTCTATTATTTAGTTATTTTCTTTTTCCATCTCATATTTATCTCATGTGTTTCTCATCTCCTTGCCTCATTTGTTCTTCTTCTCCACCAACATTATTAATTACAAAATTCATTTTTTTACTGATGGTAGATACAACTTTTTTACTGTTACCGGATACATTTTTTCTCCGTTATTTTCTCCATCACTGTTGATTGTAAGCAAAAATTGTCGAAGAAGATGAATTTTGTTTAAAATGTTTTGTTCTATATAGACATATAGAATAGAAATGTAAATTATAAATAATTTTGTTGTTTAACCACCGTTAACATTGCTACCACCACAACAACCAATTGTTTAGCAATCACTACCATCTTCTCCTTCATGTCCATTCGGCGTTTCCTCATTTCCTTTCAGTGTCTCTTCTTCTACTCTTTCATCTCGCGCAGTTGTTTATTCTTCTTATCCACTAACCCTAGCAACACCTCATCCAACTTCTATGCAAATTATATCTCCTCTCTGCATCGTGATTTTTACTTAATCATTCCAACAGCAGCACCTCTAGGCATTCCATGGAAAACTACTATTTGCTTTTCTTATTTTATTTGTCGCACATAATATAAAATTGTGATTTAAGTATAGATAATGCACGATTGTATTATATTTTAGCCCTTATTGTGTTTCGTGACTTAGGTGTTTTCCATTTGCTTGAATTGACTAATGCAGTTGATAGTGGAGGATTTATACTATCAAGATTTGATTCAGATTTGGAGAAGATGAACAATGTTAATATTGTACTATTCTGTTAAATGACCACATATAGTATGTATCTTCTTCTCCTTCATTTCTTATGGTGGTTACTTTTACTTCTCCTTTAGCTATATTAACAATATTACCAGGGACAATATGTCACAATAAAAAAATAATATATCAGATAAAATATTAAGTTTTCCTAATATGTATGAAAAAAACTAAAACACTTTATAAATACAGTGTAAGTAAAATATGTATTGGAAAAAGAAAACACTCATGTTTGTCTCTAAAGTTTGGGTTTGATGCAAATGTGACTCAAAAGTCCAAAGTCAAACACAAAACTAACTTTTTTTTTTTTGATATTTCATTTGCCCAATCCACCCTAGAAGTTCTGATTATTTTACGAAAATTTCATTTTATATATATATATATATATATATATTTTTTTTTTTGAAAATGAGTGTTATACTCTCTAATCCTCATTTTCATCAATTAATCACAAAAATAACACTACCATCAATTTTCACCCAACAACCATGAACAACCAAAATGAAGCTCTTAATGCATCTAAAAAATGAAATTTACTCATTCATTCTCATAAATTATGCCCAAAAACACATATCCCTCCCTTTCTTGCTATATTCACCCAAAAAAATCCAAACTTTTGGATTCTAAAG